CACTGAGTAGAGTAAAAACAATTGAGGGTATTGCTATATCTGATCTAGAACCAAATAAGGTATTACACAAATCTCACGATGGACTAGTTTTATCAGAAATGCAGAGACTGACAGCTCTAAAGCTCATTGAATGTGAGGTTTTTTGTACACAACTCAGCATTAAAAATCTGTGAGTAAACAAAAAATCAACCCTCATTTCCCACCCTTAGAGTAATTTTTTTTTTCAAATTTATATGGGACCAGTATCGAGGTATACCCTATCTAGGGCTACCATCTCTAAAACCTGTCCCCCAGAATCGGAAGCGTAAGTTTTAAGGCATTACAAATCGAATGAAAAATTCACTTACATCTCGATTAAAATATATTTTACTCCGTACTTTATAGAAGAAAACTTTAATTTTAAGCCTCTTTTGTTGCATTAAACTGTGTGTTTAATCGTTATTAATAACTTTAATAACATCAAAATGTCCTAAAATTTTAAAATAGACTATAATCAGAACTAAAACTTAAAAAACCATAAATTGGTAATTTTTTTGAGCAACATACTACATATTTATTTCTATATATTGCAGACAAATAAACACAATTTATTGTTTACTTTCATAGAACTGTGTAAATAATTTAAATTAAAAAGAAAACTACATATAGTTTTTAATTATCTGGCAATTCTTAAAGCGATAACATTAAAATGCCTTCAAATTTTAAATAGACTAGACAGAATTAAAACTTAAATAGTTATGTCATGAAGTAGAGTCATGTTGCAGTTATATTAGTAGTAGTATAGTTGTAGCACGAATGGGGCGGCACGATCTGGGAAGGACCACGCTCTCACAGAATACCAGCGTAAAATGGTAGCTTAATACTGCTGTGTTTCGTATGGTAGTTATAGTATGTGTATGTTCGTGTGAGTGTAGAGAACCGGAGACCCTTTTTACTGGAAACGAGCTTTGGAAGGCACGTAAAGCCGTTGGTCCTGCGCCTGATCTCTCTCCGGTCGTACTAATCCGCCTACTAATACCTAACCCATAGCTTTTATTTATGTAAATTATGGGAACGGGATCTGATCGAAAACCCGGACTTTTATTATAGTCCGGTTTAAACCCCGCGCGGACGCTTTTCGGACGTCTTCCAAACTAGGACAAATCCGGAGAAACCCGGACGGATGGCAGCCCTAACCCTATCCAACAAAAATAGAATTATCAAAATCGGACTATTTTGTCATAAATCACCTCTATTTTCTCACCCTAGGGTAAAAACTTTTTTCCAAATTTATATGGGAACAATTTCGAGGTATACCCTATAGATTAAAAAAAGAATTATCAAAATTGGACTACTCTGTAATAAATCACCCCTATTTCCCCACACTTAGGGTATTTTTTTCAAATTTATATGGGACCGATTTCAAGATATCCAATAACAAAATAATTATCAAAATCGAACTACAATGTAATAAATCATCCTTATTTTCTCACCCTTAGGGTAAAAATTTTTTCCTAATTTTTATGGGACCAATTTCAAGGTAAATACCCTATCCAATATAGAAACAATTATCGAAATTATGGAGTACTCTTTAATAAATTACTACTATTTTCCCACCCTTAGGGTAAGAATTTTTTCCAAATTTATAAGAACGAAAAGAACCCCTTTGTCGTATCTCCTCAGTTTCAAGGCACTCCCCTTATTGCCTCAGTCAGTATCGGAATCCTCGGCGTCGACATATCGAGTGACGTGCAGTTTCGTGGTCACTTGGAAGAGAAGGCCAAATTAGCCTCTAAAAAGCTTGGCGTGCTCAGCAGAGCGGGACAGTATTTCATGCCGGCACACCGCTTGCAACTTTACAAGGCGCAGGTTCAGCCGCACATGGAATACTGTTCCCATCTCCGGGCTGGGGCTCCCCAGTACCAGCTCCTTCCACTTGACCGCATCCAGCGCAGAGCGGCTCGAATCGTCGACGACCGAGTGCTTTCCGATCGGCTCGATTCACTGGCACTGCGAAGAGATGTTGCATCTCCTTGCATTTTCTTTCGCATATACCATGGAGAGTGCTCTGAGGTATTGTTCGGATTAATCTCAGCCGCCAAATTTCGTGAACGCACTACGCGGCAAACGTCCCGATACCATCCACACCATCTGGATGCTTAACGGTCCACCACTGAACGTTTCAAAAGGAGTTTTCTTCCGCGTACAACCTCTCTGTGGAATAGTTTACCTTCAAGAAAAGAGCTTACTCCTTTCTAAAGGGCCGGCAACGCGTCTGCAATTCCCCTGGTGTTGCGGTTGATCATGGGCGGCGGTAGTCACTTAACATCAGGTGAGCCGCATGCTCGTTTGCCCCCTCTTCTATAAAAAAAAATATGGGATCAATTTCGAGGTATATAATCTATCCCTATCCATTAAAAAAAGAATTATCAAAATCGGTCTACTCTGTAAAAGTTATGCGTGGTCATACATAAAAAATATACTCGTCGACTTGAGTACCTCCTTCGTTTTTTCGTCGGTTGAAAAGGCGCTACTCCTAGCGAACGACCTTGAGCGTTCGCTCCTATACATTCCACTCGCTCTAACTACAATGTATCGCGTAAGATATACGCCCAAATTTTAAATATTGTCTTAATAAAATCGAAAAAGAATTTAGTCCTTTGAAAAAATTAAATAGATCAAAATGTTCATTTAATAAATTATAAAATAATGCTTACTTTATTAGGAGATGCATGTTATCAACAATATTTCGCATTTCTGTGGTTTAGTTGTAGGAAGATTCATCAAGTATTTACTCTTTTTCTTAAAAATTGCAATTAGCTATTATGGAATCAAGATTACGTAGAAATTTAATAGACTTAAAAAAACCTTACAAATAACGACTAGCGCGCCATTGCGCTCAAACACGCTGTTTTTGCAACTTGTAGTTTAAAAAAAAAACTTTTTCTCGGAGGTTTCGAAATACTGTAACATCCACGGAAATCTATGTATAATAACAAGAAGATGTCACTGAGTCATCTTACATAAACGATTACAACAATGTTGTAAGGGAAGTTGGACTTTGTATATGATGTATTAAATGTATTTAGATTAATAATAGAGTGACCAAGTTACTACTTACACCTAAAGATGTATTAAAATAAATAAATTTAAAAACTAGAAAAATAGAAAAAAGCCTACTCCTTTTTATCAAGCCAGCAACGCGTCTGCAATACCGCTGGTGTTGTAGGTAAGCCGTATGCTCGTTTGCCAATTTATAAAAAAAAAAACTTTAAATTGGAGGGAAACATTAAAGACGACGACACTTTCATAAAAGACGATCTGACCGATATTATTGTGCTGTAATTACAGAAAATAAGCAATAATACACAGGAAGCTATAATAAACAGGTAATTATTCATTGACTCACTATCTATCATTCTTCTTAATTTTGCAAATTATTATAAATTAGTAAATACTAAGCAACTGTTTTTTTGCGTATTTAGTATTTACCCCAAAGTAGAGCAAACAAAATGGCCGTTTTCAAATTATTACATTTGATTATTAAGATTATTTGATAATTATTATGCCACTTGCTGTATGTTGACTCCGCGAGGTCCATTCGCGTACGGTGAAGTTTCCAGAAAACTGTATACGCGAATGGTATTGCTGTTGCTATTAACAGGGCTGGTTGTTCGCTTTCGCTCAAAGGCTAAGTGACGAGGAAACGCGACCAGGGTTCTTGGCACTAGGGAGAATTGGATTGTATGATAGTTTAAGTTTCGTTTTAGTTTTTTTTATTATTAAGAAATGAATCATATATTCATTTCTTAACTTAAATAAAAATAATAATCTTTGATATATATCTTGAATATACTCGTAATTATTATTTCCTGTAACTATATACTGTACTCGTACTGTAGCACTAGCACAGTATAGTGTAGACATTGCCGGATTATTACATACCCGATTACCATGTAATACATGACTAAGTTAATACAAAACTTTTTTCTTTTAGAAATTAGCATTTTATAAAAGTAACATAAATTTTATTTAAGATAAATATCTTAAGAAACAATGTATGATTTAATGATATGTTTATCTCGTGTCACCAACTTTTGTGTTATAATAGATCTTAATGCCCAAATAAAACAAATTCAGCGCGAGTGCTCGTCAACGTCGGTGCCCGGTTTTCATTTAGCGCTGCTGTCCTTGTCTCCCCTCCTTTCACCCCTCGCCCTCGTACGCACCGATCGGACAAAACACAAAGGCGACTGCGCGCAGTATATTAGTGATAATTTTTTATAATTATTAAAATACAAAAAAATTACACCTGATACAACATTCTGCACTTGCAACTTTTTATACGTGGTAGAGCCATTTTGCAGTTATATTAGTAGTATAGTTGTAGCACGAATGGTTCGCTCGACCGGGGAAGGACCACGCTCTCACAGAATACCAACGTAAAATAGCATAATGCTGCTGCGTTTCGTGTGGTGAGTCTAGAGAACCCGAGACTCTTTTTACTGGAAATGAGGCATTCCATCTTAGTCCTCACGGGTGACAACGCATCTGCGTTTTGATTCGTAATCGAGGATAGATGTAGGTGTCTGAGGGCGAGAGCAACCACTTATCGTCAGGTGGACTGTGTGTTCGTTTGTCACACTATCCTAGAAAAAAAAACTTCTTCGCTTGCTACTTCCGCTTTACTTTATACCACGATCGCACAGCCTTATGCACCAATGTGAAGTGTAAGATCCAACACTCACAAGATCATTTCTGTGTGTAAACATTTGTTTAGCGCGAAGTTCGCTCAGTTCTTCTAGCTCAGTGCATAACGCGCTAGTCACCTAGGCGGCCGGAAGTTGCAGGTAGACGTAATTCAGCGGTTCATCCTAACATACGTTATTAAAACTTGCATCATGTGGCAGCTTTTAGTGACTTTAAGAAATTTCACATTCGCCGTTATTTTATTTTAAAACAAGAGTTTTTAAAATAAATATTTCGCGTGAATAGCAGTGGTGCCAACCCGTGTTTCCGAAATGGAAGACCTGCAGCCGAGTGCTGATGAACCTTTGTCAGTAAACTGCGACTGCGATGATGAGGATAGGGCGTGGCTTTCGACGACGGAGAACCTGGACCTGGACTGGCCCCAGTATCACCCCTACCTGGCCTGCAGCTTTTGCATGGCGATGTGCCAGTGTCCTCAGTGTGTACTCGTTACATATAGAGGTATGTATGGCATTTTAATCTACTTTCTACAAATAAAAATTCTCAGGTCTTGAGATTTAAAAGTTATTGCCCTGTAGTTTTAGTGCTCCAAATTGCCACCTTTTTTACATAGGGAAATGCCTACACAGACTCGCACCTACTAAAATTCCATGGTATTTCACCTTCGACGCATATTAACAGGGCCGGGGCAACGCTTTCGCACACATCCGCAGCCCCACCAGCGCTGGCAGCCCCTCCTCGGGGCAGGACTTCTCCTCCCCATTCTCCTTCTCAGGCAAGGCGCACCAGGAACACAAGGCACGTCATCTTTTCCTGGTGCACCGGCCTTCAACATCACCTACGTAACAGATCCCCCCTCCCCCGTGTTCAATACGCATAAGTCATGGGGCCAGGAAAGTCGACTTCTTGGTAGCATCCGCTTTCCGGACCCCAACGGCGGGTCTGCAACCAACTTTCGGCCGCTGAGGGTAGGGAGAGCAACGCCTCGCAATATCGAAATTTCTCTCCTCCTCATGACAAGACGAGAACCCATGCAAGCGAGGAGCCATTGATCTGCTATGTGTTTTTAAGTATAAAGTGTTAAAAAACAATTCAATACTTTATACGCGTTTGTTTGCCATCCATAGGTTACAATTTTGCTGGTTTTTAATAATACTGTAGATTACTATAGGCCCTGAACGTTAGCCTTTAAGTGAGAATTCAAGTTATATTCAATTCATGTTAATTTGTTTTCGATTACTGCACGGAGAGAAGAGAATTCTAATTACAATGAAGAATGGTAATCATTACTATGTTACGGGTAGTCTAGTCTAGAAGTGAGTTTTCTGAGAAAAATCATTAGAATTGTGGCAAAAATATAGCTCATTCCCTCATTCGATGCGGAATTAAAACTTTGAAAAAGACTTTTTTTTTTGAAAATCATAATTTCAATTTGTGCTTTAACAAAAAAATAATAACGAAATAAGGGTCTCAGCTTCTTGTTAATAGCTCAATAAGCAAAGGGGTTTCGAAACTCGAAAAAAAATATCCTTAAAGAGGAGGAAATTTCTTAAAAAATTTTTTGAATCCCGGAACTCCATAAGCAAACATTTTTATTTAATGTTGAAAATGTGGTTATGCGCGGCTCCTGCAGCATGGCTGTGTTGATTGTTATTACCATTAAACACTTGTGAAATCCTAAAAAATAAGTTTTTTATAGTATAAGGTGACCAACGAGCACACAGTCCACCTGATGGTAAGTGAATGCTGTAACCCACAGACATCTACATTTATCCCCGATTAAGAATCTAAATGTAGATGCGCAGTCACCCCTTAGGTCTAAATTGAAATGCCTCGTTTTTGGTAAAAGGATCCCCTGTTCTCTATACTCACCATACGAAGCAGCATTAAGGTGATATTTTAGGCTGGTATTATATGAGAGCGTGGACCCACCCCGGTCGAGCCGACCCTTTTGTGCTACAACCATAATATATCCGCAGCGTGGCTCAACAACGTTTAAAAGTTCAAAATTACTCTAATAATTTACTTAAAAATTAAAACGCAAAATATGAAACACCGTTATATATTATGCTTGCACTCGTCAGACTTTTGTAGAACCAATTATCGGGCCGTTTCGATGCATTTACGCGAGCGACTTTTTGTAGAACTTTGTGTTTACGCTACGAATTAATAATCGGTTACCGATTGTATGACGTAGATTGTCTTGGTCGAAAAAGGTGTAACGTTTCACATTTTTGTGACATCAAGTAAATAAATGTTAGTAAATTTAAAAAAAACCACGCACAGGCATAGGTTTGGATATACAACCCTTTTGCGCGGGCCCGTAGAATCTGCTACTTTTGCTACGTGGTTAATTCGGCACTGAGTATAGACCATGTGTAGACACTATATTTTTAATAATCTATGCCATATGCACGATATCACGGCTTGCTAGAATCGCTTTTTAGTGACACAAAAGATAATTTAATGACAAAAACTTTGGGTTAATCATATATCAATCACAGCGCGTAATATGAGTGTGAATATTATTTTTGTCTCTTTCGTAACTAAATTCAGTATAGTATGATCCGATCTATTTAAATTGAAATCCAATTTGAACTGTGTTACACAAAATAAACTATTCCAAATAATACCTCGTGGGTCATTCCAAAAAAATGCTTTTCCGCAGAATTAATAATGAGGAGGTAACAAAAAAAAAAGAATACTTGCGCGGTAGTTTTCTATCGTTCATAGTGGCTAGTTATAAAATATCCATTATCATCGGAATTTTGTTTAAATAAAACGGTAATAAACTTATGCAAAATAATTTCGCAACCACTGTTTTTATATTAACGATAGTAAGTGTTAAGTGAAGTGCTATATTTTTGTGGACTTTTAATATTTAGAAAGCAAGGGGTATTGTCACCGATAAACGGCTGATTCAATTTACATGCGGCCCGGAGCGCGGGCTCGCTCTGGCGCTCAGTGCATAACGAGCTAGTAACCTAGGCTGCCGGTAGTTGCAGGTAGACGTAATTCAGCGGTTCATCTTAACATACGTTATTAAAACTTGCATCATGTGGCAGCTTTTAGTGACTTTAAAAAATTTTACATTCGCCGTTATTTAATTTTAAAACAAAAGTTTTTAAAATAAATATTTCGCGTGAATAGCGGTGGTGCCAACCCGTGTTTCCGAAATGGAAGACCTGCAGCCGAGTGCTGATGAACCTTTGTCAGTAAACTGCGACTGCGATGATGAGGATAGGGCGTGGCTTTCGACGACGGAGAACCTGGACCTGGACTGGCCCCAGTATCGCCCCTACCTGGCCTGCAGCTTTTGCATGGCGATGTGCCAGTGTCCTCAGTGTGTACTCGTTACATATAGAGGTATGTATGGCATTTTAATCTACTTTCTACAGATAAAAATTCTCAGGTCTTGAGATTTAAAAGTTATTGCCTTGCTTAAAGTTTTGCGAAATGTTTCTATAAATAAAAAATCTAACGTAACATTGTGAGGTGCTAGATTATAAAAAATTTAACATCGGGAGCGTAACATTTCTTTTTAATTTACTGTTTCTACTATCGCATTGCTCTTTCTTGATTTTTACTTTTAAGTTGTGATCTATTATGTATTTGTTTAGGGTTTTATCAATGCTTTAGTAAAAGGTAATTTAAAATTTAGAGGCTTTTCTCTCTTCAAATAAACACTCAGCGTGAAAGCCTTGTGGAATATTAATTTAGAGTTGATGCCAGTAGACCCGACGGTGCGACTTTGGTCTTTGGGATAGAGGCAAACCCCTTATGCACGTAGCAACCTGCGTAGGCAATTTCGTAACCACTTATATCAGTGGCATCAGAGGAGTCTGAACTGAGGAAGTGCCGCAGGTATGAGTCTCTAAGAGATGATTAGATAGTTGTATCTACCATTTGCTGTAGAGACTATCGTTCCGTGGGTCTACGTGCAGTGAAGTTCCTTCCCCAGAATTGTACTCGTACCCGCGATTGCCGCTAAGAGGTCTGTTCCTTTGCTCCTTCAAAGGCTAAGTACGCAGCCAACATTCTTGGCAGTGGGTCGCGGGGCATGGGACTGTATGTTAAATTAACTTTTTAGCTTTAGATTTTTTTTAATTTGTTTAAATTTATAATTTATCTATGCAGTATACGCGAAAGTCTATAATGTAAATTTTTAGCTAATATCGCTTTGCAAAATCGGTTTGAAAACTATATCATGCAATAATACAATGGATTATAACCGATTTCTTAATAACGTAATTTATTTCTTCTCTATTTTTCTATATTGCATACTAAGCTAGGTAGGAGAATAATTTACCTAATCCCCTACAAGTGGTTTATGGATAGAATTTAGTTTTCATCATGTTAAATTAAGTCTCGTTCTAAATTCCTGTTTTGTTTATACTCGTACATATCAAACTAAATTTGTATTTATGGTGGCAAATTGTTTTTTATATCGCCTGAAACGCACGTAGCGCTCAGCCTTCTTTCTTTATTGGGTTGAATAAATACCACATAATGTCATTTTTACCGGCGGGATTTGAACACCGATATAGCATCCGTTGTATGAAATTTAAGAGGCAGAGTCCCTTAGAAAATTATGAACAATTATAATTTGTAACAACATTTTGTTTTGACATATATTTATATTTAATAATAAATAGGTTTTGTTGTGTATGATTATATTATGGTTTGATATTAATTTTATTGTGAATGATTCAATATAGCTATTTTCAGAGATGTCCAAATAGTTAATTAAATGTACTTAAAGGTTCTTTTTATATTTCACATAAAAATAAAAATAGTTTTGATCGAAAGTATTTAAATTAAACAAATGCAAAATACGTATTTTCAAAACAAATTTTACAAATAAAATACCCTTTCATTTTATTTTATCACTAGTATTTGCTCAAAAAGTTCATCTTTCATGTTCACGTGGCCTTATAACCATTCTCCCAAACGATAAAGGCAGTTCAACGGGTGCTGAGCTTGGTGAGCAAGTTTTCTTTTACGTTTGGATATCCGTTATTGTCATCATCTTTTAAATACTGTAGTGTTTCCAGGTCGATTGTAGTACAGTTTGGCCCAAAAGTCGCAACAGTATTTTAGAATGGAGAAAGTATTTTCATTAAACTTTTAATCAAGAACACAGTTCTTGAAAATAAATTTCAATTCGTTTTGAAAATAACATTTACCTTAAATAACCACCATTTTGCTCTTCACATTGACGCGCTCTTCGTGATGGCGTGATTCGTCACCTGTCGTAATGTTTCTTGACTTATCCCTCCAATATCCTACAATTGCTGAACGGTTACAGGATTATTAGGTATACTCCATATTTCAAATATCCTGACAGGAAGAAATCTGGAGCTGTTAAGTCAGGTTAGAAGAATTCCGCGAAATTATACTTTTCCCGAAAGTTTGCCTTAAGAGATCAGTTAACAGGCCAGCTGTTTGGGCAGTAGCACCATCTTGTTGCCTCCATACCTTCATTGTATACAAGACTGTAGTTTGCACAAAATTCTCCAGCATTTCTTAATACCTTTCGCCAGTGATGGTTATTGCGTTTTCTGCTTCATCTACAAAGAAGTAAGGTCCAGAACCCTTCATGCAGCTACACCACACCAAACCGTTGTTTTTACGTGATGCGGACTACGCTGATGGACTATTCTTGGATTTTCTGTCCCCCAAAATCACATATTTTGTTTGTTAACAAATCCGTTTAGGTGAAAATGGATCTTGATTTCCACCTAAATGGTGGAAATGTGTTGTAAATTAAATCGGCCTCGTGCCTTGCGATTCTTGAATCAGGACCAGATTATCCGATTCGATTAGCGTATGCGCGCACCATTGACTTATATATTACTAGCGTAAGGACCGGGCCCACCGAACAACTAAAACGGACCAGTGCGCTGGTCCTAAAATTACAGTTTAGGGCCAACGCGAATCGGTCGAAAGTGGTGCGAGCGCAGGACAGATTTGCCTGTCATAAATATTTCTAGTTGCGTGGTAAAACAACGCAAAAATTACGATACAAAGATTTAAAAAAAAACGTGGGATATCGTATCATCGGTAAATAACCTTATATAAATTTTGTTACAATTAAATTATTATATAAACGCATTTTTAAAGTTTTATTTTACAGTTAGTTTATTTACGTTACCAAGATTAGGCCAGGGTTGGATTCAGACCCTCAAAAATATTGTACAACAAAATTATACTATTTTAAGAAAATTATATCACGTTTGACGTTTCATGTTTCTTTTTTCTCATGTGCTGTGATTTTGGCGTCACGCGTCTAGTTTATCTCTGTTTTATATAATTTTTATTTCTGTTTAATTTTTGTCTAAGAAATTGTGTAAGTTTGATTTTGAATACTAGTACTTAGTATATTTTATATTCAATAAGGGTAAAACGAAAAGAGTACAATAGAAACCATATCTGCTTAATTGAATTTGAAAATCTGATTCATAAAATATTTTGAAATTCTGTTTTCAAACCGATTGCTTTTGGAGCATAGTTTTTATCGTGGTAGCCCTCATTATAGTTGTATCAAGGATGCAACATAAATGCATCGATCGAGCATCGTGTGACCAGAAAGGGACCTAATTCTAATTTTATTTTTAAAAAAACGCGGTACTCATGAACAATACAGAAATTCTCGATATCGTAGGGTTAATATTAAAATGTAAAAGGACCCAATAATAATACAAGTTGACCTTTAGGTAAAACTATGGTATTTTCGCTTAGTATTATTACGATACTGTATACTACAAACTATGAAATAATGTTACAATTACGATAATTATACTACGAAATCCGACCCTGGTTATGTCGTGTTTTGATATGACGTTTGTATTATGACAGATGCGCTACTTTTTCATGTATGAAAAAGTTATGAGTAAAATTTTAGGATGGGCCTATCCTTCCTTTTGAAATCATTGGCGCGCACACGCTCACCGAATCCGATAATCTGCTGGCTTCACTGCTGTATTTTATACATGTGCTGCACGTCCGTCATGCAAAATCCGTTTAATCATCTGGGGCGAATTTCGGTACATCTGCAATTGCTGGAACCTTCCAATTGCTGGACCTTCGATTTAACATAAAAAGCTCTTCTACATTGCTTCGGCTTACACAATGAAGGTTGTTCTTTGACCTTGCCAGCACGTGGTAAATCACTCACAGTGCCTTGAATTTGAAACCATCGGAATAAATGAAGTAAGTATATAGTTTGTTTATTTGGTGGTTTTTGACAGCAAAATGACAAGTAGCTTTAACATATTTGACGGTTTTTTAAAAAAGAATTTGATAATTTTAACACGTTGCTCAGTCGTGAATTTCTCCGTAATTAATTTCCAAGAATAACATTTTATTAAAAAAATTGTAAAACGTTATTTGAATTTTAAATAGTGTTGTGACTTTTGGTTCCACTGGTATTTCACCATCACTGGCTGCTAAAGAATCAGAGTCCCACAAACGTAATATAATAGGTTTCAATCTTTCATTATATTTATAATATAAGTATATTATACAATAAGTAGCCTATGTTGGGAGTCGGTTATGAGTGAGATATGAATTAAAAAATTAACGAAACCGTTTTCAATTTTACAATTTTATACTAATTATTTAAATAAATTATTTCAAATAATAAATTAATATTCACAAAACATTTTTTTAAAACAAGCTTTTAAATAAATCCTCTACAAAGAAGAAAATAACCTTTAAATTAAATCAAACTTATCTATTTGTTACAGTACACAATTTTTATTATATAAAAGCTTGTGGAGTCAGATTTATCTGTTTTATAAAAGCATTATTACTTTTCTTAGAATTACCTACTTATGTATATAAAGTTACCTATTATTGTATTCTTGTTTATGTGCAGAGGTAAATCTCGCGACGAAGTTTTATCGCGAGATGATTTAATTTAAAGTTAATTTCCTTCTTTGTATAGCATTTCAATGGAAGCTTGTTTATAAAAATGTTTTTTTTTACTATTAATTTATTTTACATTTTAGTTCTTTAAAATCGGCGGCCATATTGTTTTCCGCCGCTTGAGTTTTTTAACCGCCACTAGAATTTACTCAGGGGATAGGGACCGAAATTAGTTAAGCCGCGACTTCGCAAGTCTTATCGTTAATTCGGATAATCTACGAGGAGCTGAACGCAGACGTCATTTTATTCGTGTTCTTGGCAGCGAACCCTTTCATTAAATATCATAAAAAACATAGTCCGCATTTGGAAATCCACCATATTAGCTTTAGAGTGACGTCATTTTATTTTTGTATTCTTCTCAGCAAACCCTCACATTTGATATCCATATCATGGGAGCGCATAGAAAATAACTAGACCACCATCCTGAGCCTTCTACCATATTGGATTTAATATGACGTCACTTAGCTAACCATGCATAGTCACCCAAACTAAACATGAATGCAAAATTTTAGCTCAATCGGTTGAGGAAATTTTAAAACGGAATTTTGAAGCATAAATGCTTCAAAATTCAGTTTTAAAATTTGCTCCTGACGATCATACAAACATTGTAGGTTAAATGAAAAAAAGTATTTCAACTGGAAAATGAAAACAGATATTTTGATTTTTGCATTTGCATTTGAAATATATGTTTTTCAAATAATTCATATACATATCTGATTA